AACGGAAAGAAAAGCCATTAATTAAATTCCCAATTAAGATTAATCATGAATTAATATAAAAAAACGTACTAATATAAAAGCATAATTAATATAAAACATAATTAGTATAAAAAACATAGAGTCGTAGACTCATACATATTAAAATGTATAAAAAAAGAAGAAATTCCCATTACTTATACTAAATGCGTCAAAAGCTTGGAGACATCTGAAGATGATAGTTTATCGAATATCTTGTAAACAATGCAAAAAAAAGTTTTAGACAAAAGTTATGGGGGTTTTGAGTTTATTTCCGGGTGGAGAAATAGTGCCTTCAACTTGATCAATGAGTTATATAGCACAGATCCACTTATTCCTTGATTCCATTGTCACTTGTAATTTCATATAACTTTACCTATTCTTTTTATGTATTTGTAGATACATCAAATAACTATCCAATCTTTTTCTTGTATAACTTTTATCAAATTTATGTTTATTATGATTCCCTTGTTTTTTAATTCGTTTAATTCTAATATCTATTCGTCTAATATCTATTCGTCGTATCTCACGCATTATTAAATAACATGTTCCAAGTTCTTATATTCATTGCTACAATTGTACTTAGCGTCCTCTGTATATTTCTTCCTTATAAACGATTCATTAAAGTTATAGTGATTCGCTCTTATTCTATTTAGTCATGTCACAAAGTATCTCTCCTTCTTCATCTTATAAAACGATGAGCGATGTTTGTTCTTCTCATAATAATATTTGAAGTATTGGGCTCCCGTCCATTTAGCTTAAGTAATAATTCTATCTTGAATATGATTCCAACTTTATAAATATGTAGTTGTCTCTTGGGTACTTTTATTTCTTCGCCTCTTCCTTCGCCGTCTTGGCTAGCTGATTCGCTATTTCATTCCCACGTATGCCTCTATGGGTTGATATCCATCCTAGTATAAAATTTTTGCCATATTCCTTATTGAGTTGAGTATAATCTTCTTGTTTTAATTACATATCTATTGTTATATATTATTGTTATTTTTTATTGTATTGCTTTAAGAGAGGATTGTGAATCAGTGAGGATCACGATATTTTTACATCTTTCTGATGCTTGTGTCTTCATTAATTTCAGCACAGCTTTGATCGCAAATATTTTCGCTGTAAATATTGAACATTCCCTAGGCAAGCTTATATTGTACGCTATTTCTTGATCTTCTATTACTATATTCGCTCCAGTTGCCTTATTGTTTTCCCTTTTTGAACCATCCGTATAAATTATCGTCGCAATTATCAGCATTAAAGATCCCTAAGTAGATATTCTTATATTCATTGCATATCTTATTAAATATTTGACTCATTTTTGGAATTATTTTTTCCCGGCCTTCTATATATTGCATATACATTAAATCTAATATTTGTGTTTGTAATCGTTAATCCTGATCTCAAAATTTCTTGGATTATATCAGAATCCAGCGTATTCGTAACTAATATTGCAACGCCTCTACTACTCCTATACTCCTATACTCCAGTGTGTTTTAAACCTGAGAAATATATCGTAGTCTTACTTAATGTTTTTAATTCTGTTATTACTAGAACGTTATATTTCCTGATTCTGTTTTTTAGTTTATTCTTTTCTCTTTAAAACTCCTGCAACTCCACAGTAAAATTTTCAAACCTTCCATTATGTGCAATATAGAATTAAATCTAAAATTGAAATCACAAAATTATTTCTGGGAATTGACTCATACAAAATAAAATTCAACTGACATTTCAAGTATGGTCAGTTTATGAATTAAAAATAATACCTAATAATTATTATAATAAAAAAAACCTCCTTAAAATTAAAATTATAAACCTATAGACTAGAATTATAGACTTATAGACTAGACTAGAAAGAAAAACTAAAACAATGTTTATAAGAAATTATAGAAGTAAAAATCGCTTATCTGTATTCGTATCTACGCTTTTCCTAATAATCTCTCCTCGCGTTCTTTCTCTTGTCCAGTACTGTCTTCTTTGTTCTTATACTATTCTTCTTTGTTTTTTTCTTTTTTTTCATTTCGTATTTCCTCTCTTTTCTTCCTCTGTTATTTGCTTGTAGTTATCTAAGTATTGTCTTGAAATTAGACAATAATCTCAAGAAATTAAACTAGATAGTTACAGATCGACAGACTCTTGAATTGATAAAAATAGTTAACACAAGGCAAATGACTTAAACTAAATATATATAATACTAATGTATTGGGTTGTCGGAAAAGTCATGACATGATATTTTTTTCTATGTTTTTCAAAGATCATTTATTTTAATTTATAAAAAACGAAGATCAATCAATGATATATTGCTCGTTTTGTTCGATAATCTTTTGCTAGAACCTTTGCTCTTTCAGTGAGTTTTATAATTTCTCGTTCATAGAAGGACCTATCTTTATCAGCGAAAAACTGAACAAAGTGCTGATTTACAGCCTCATTTGAATTAAACGTTATACCATGCAAGGAGTTTTGAAGAGAGCGAAACAAGTGGAAGTCTGACGGCGCAGGGTCAGATGAGTATGGTGGGTGTGGCAACACATCCCATCCAAGCTCCAATAATTTTTGACGGGTGGTCAAACTTGTGTGTGGTCTCACGTTGTTATGATGGAACACAATTCCTTTCCTCTGGATGTTTCTAGATGATGGATTCGTTCAAACTGTCCAATTGCCGACAGTACATTCGAATTGATTGTTTGGTTCCTTGGTAGAAGCTCGAAAAACACGACACCTTTAAAATCCCACCACACTAAGAGCATAACCTTCCTCTGATGAATGTTTGCTTTTGATGTCGTTTGAAGCGAATCATCACGTCGGGACCAAGACCGTTTGCGCACCACATTGTTATAAATAATCCACTTCTCGTCACCAGTTATCAGTCGCTTCAAAAAAGGATCATTTTCCTCACGTTTAATGAGCATATCGTAAATGTTTATACGCGCCATCAAATAAACTTCTTTGAGTTCATGAGGAATCCAAATATCGAGCTTGCTTATGTATCCCAACTTTTTCAGATGGTCGTGAACGCTTGAATGATGGATGTTCAATGTTTCTGCTATCTCTTGTATCGTGTAACGTGGGTTTGACTCGATCAATGCCTTTATTTTGTCGTCATCAACCTTGATGAGCCTCCTTGATCGAGGAGCGCCGTTGAGGTCAAAATCACCAGCACAGAATTTCGTAAACCATTGTTGATACTGACGTTCTTATAAAGCATTGTCACCATAAATTTTATACAACTTTTCACAAGCTTGACGCACGTTCTTCCCTTTACGGAAGTAAAACAGTAATATATGACGAAAATGCACAGTTTGATCTTTCAGCTTCAACTTTTTATAAAGTCTCCAAAACTCAATCAAATCGCTCAATTTTTTTTTTTAGAATGAAACTAGAACTGTCAGCTGTCAAATGACATAGCAATAACATAGATGCAAATGACTCTAGTACTTCCAAAAATGAACTAGCGCCATCTGTTACAAAAATACGTCATGACTTTTCCGACAACCCAATAACAATAAGCGAACGTTTGACTCATTTTTGAGTCATCTTTAGCGCAAAATAACGGTTTTAGGAGAACAGACAAAAACCTATTAATGATATTAATGACAATCAATCGGCAAAATTGTGACTCATGGGCAGCACCCAATGTGTGTTCTTTTCTTGCTTTGTATCACCCCCAATTCCACATTTCCCCTTCTCGATCCATATTGCCACTTATTTCTTCCTCTGTCATGAGTGTAATTTGTTTTCTTGATATAATATCATTCATTCCTCTTGTATTATCCATTTCAGGTTTTTTTTCTTTTGGCTACCATACTTTTTAATCTAAAACAGACATTTCTTACTATCCCCCCGTCCCCGAGGGGGGTTCTATATTGGGGCATTTTTCGTCTATTATACTCGAAGTTATTATCACTTATAGACCCCCTTCTATCTCCGCTTTATTGGCGGATCACAAAGCACTTCCAATCGCAATTCAAAATCCCGCTCACACAATACGTGCACGCGCATCCGAATTCTCATTCTGTCTTAGTTCGAAATTGTCGATTTTGAGATTAGAAACGTGCACGTGTGTACAATGTATATATACATTTTCAAATCCAGACAAAAGTTACAAGATTTCAAGGTTAGGATTAAAATCACATGATTATCATATTGATTCATTGACAGATGAAATCACTGTCGAGATTTCTTATAGTTGTCATTTTTTTAAATGGAATCATATGTTTCCTATTACGCGATATCTCAGCAAAAGCAAAATACTAGCAGTATGTCGGCAGACAGCCAGCAGATTCGATCAAAATATGTTAACAAAATAATATCAACTGTGTTATATAGAAATTGCAGTTTTCCATAGTTTTTACTGTTAATTTGTTGTGAATCTGCATTATAAACTCTGTTCTATTTCTGTTGCCAATCTGATATTAAACTATGTTATGTAGATCTTGCTCGATTTCTGCCAATATGCCGGCAAGTTATGTCAGTAAGTTCTGCTCGATTTCTGCAAATAATTTATTGCATAGCATATTAGCAGGGTTTATCATATTTTTGGGGATAGTTTGTCGATATCATTAAATATTCTTACATATTCTGTTTGAAATTTGCTGCTTTTTTACCATCAGAAATTGATAGCATACTCTACTCAAAATCTGTTTCTATAGGTTTGGCTATTGGAGCTGATTCCTTTCATTCATTCAGTCATTCTGAATATAAAAGCATACGAGTATCAAAAAGTCAACAGTTTATAAGATATTTTATACTTTATTCTTATATATTCTGACATGAAATGTAAAATATCTCATAAACTTTTATTCTTCTTTATTTTTGATAACTATCCAAGCAGCAAAATAGAATGAAATTACGTCTATTCGATCTTGTAATAGGTTCAAAAACTTGTTCGACCAAGCCCAATGTACGTCGAATCAAAGTAAGTAGGGAATAAAGTTGAAGTAATTTTACAATTTAAATAAAGTAATGCAAGGCGTTTCGCCTTATAAATCATAGTCTGATATAATCAAATAGACTTAACAGAAAGTCGAATATCGATAATATTTTGATAATTTTGATTTAATTCTGACTAATTTGTGCCCTCTATTCTTTTGACAACGCAACTTTTGTTTTCAAGAAATCTAGATAGCAGCGTTGCATATTATACAACATATACGTTCCATATTAATTCTATCTAGAAAGGTGTCTATACTACTCATAACATATGGTTCCAACCACTCATAAAAGAATAAAATATTAACAGATTTTATTGCCACATCAGTTTTGAAACTAAATATCGCGTGATATGTGACAGAAATTTAGTGCAAAAAAAATTTTCTGTAGATTTTTATATTCTTATATTGCTAAAACCAACACGCTTTCAAAAACAGATAATGATAAATATTTACATTAGGGGACACAGCTCGAATGACCTTGACTTTGATATATGTTATAGAGGTGAGGATATTGATCAACTTTTCCTTATAACTTAATTGGCTAAAAGATATCACCAAAATATAAATACTATCTTCAAATATATATATATATGTATGTATTTGTACACTATCCATCATATACGAGGTATCATATAAACAGAATAATATTTCAAAATTAAACTTTATGTAAGTATATCTCGAAAATTAAACGAGACCGCCGATTAATTTATAAGAAAAAGTTGATCAGTACCCTCACCTGTATAACATGTATTAAAGTCAAGATCATTGGAGCTGTGTCTTCTAATGTAAATAAATACCCAGATGATAAATCTTTTTTTATTTATAATATACACCCACCCACTCACCCACACCCACCCACACCCACACACACACACACACACACACACACACACACACACACACACACACACACACGCACA